AGCAATTTTTTCTTAACCTTTGTTCTGTAATATGGATTTTGTCTTTGCTGGTAGCTGAAGATAAACAGCAGAATAGAAGGGAATGAAGAAATGTAATTAATATGTCATACCTTTTTATATACTGTTTTGTCAGGATTAAAATGGCTAGCTACCAAATTTGATAATGAACTGGCTTTACCTGTTTTATTCTGAAATACTGGTGTCTGTACAAAAGCTCGCAAGGCTAACTTACATAGATTAGAGAGATGAAAAAAACGAAAGGTTATGTGACAAGAAACTATAACATAGGAGGAATTGCTGGCTGGGGTGATTGTCCCCAGAGACAAACCATTGCTATGCTGAATGAGAATGGGATGCTTACAATGGGAAATTGTTCTGTGTGTTTTTTTTCTCCTTTTTTTCTTTCTGCCTCTTGAGAGGTAAACTCTTGTATTTCTGGGGGATTAACAATTTCCTGTTGTACCTAGGTGAACGTTATCCACACAGCTAACCCCATTGAACATGCTAATCACATAGCTGCGCAACCACAATTTGTTCATCCAGTGCATCACACGTTTGTTGATCTCTCTGGTCACAACCTAGCTAACCCTCATCCATTTTCAGGTAAGGATTCTCAGTCACTGAAGTTCAGATGATTTTTTTCTGTTGTTAAACTGTCACAGAGGCTTCTTGCTGCACCAAGATTTTTTTTTCCCAGTTAACCCAATGTGTTGGACTAACAAATTTAAGCAGCATCTTGATCCCATTCTGCTGTTGCCTGGACAAGGAGGAGCAGATTGCTACAGATCTATGAAATATCTTTTCCTGCCAGCAGGGAAACTTTCTGCTGGTGTGTGTGCATTGGAAAATGGGAGGTGTACTGTTCTTGGCAGGGACTATAAGACCTAGATAAAGGGCTGTGAGGAACTGGGACAATATTTCTTGTGAATGGCATAGGGAAAGAATTGCATTGTTATTCCCTTGATGAGTCGTGGTGTCTGCCCTTTTTATCTTAATTACATAAATTTGACATGGGGGTAGGATGTGAGAGGAAGGAAAGTGTATTAGAGAGGAGTCTGTGTGGTAGGATCTGCTTTCCATGTGTTGTCAGTCCTTCAGATTGATGTAATTATACTTAGGAACTAAGTTTTAGTTTTGGATCTCCCACTGACTTTTTAGTGGCCTTATACAAACTGCCTCTGTGTAGCTACCTACAATATTTGTATAATGCCATTTCCCTCTTGCAGGTGATAGGAACAGAGGATTAGTTACTAGCTTTACATAAAAGTTGTTTATCAGTATCATCTAAGAAACTCCGTTCATTTTCTTGTTGCAGTTGTTCCAAGCACAGCCACTGTTGTGATTGTAGTTTGTGTGAGTTTCCTGGTTTTTATGATTATTCTGGGAGTGTTCCGAATCCGAGCTGCACATCAGAGAACGATGCGTGACCAGGACACTGGAAAGGAAAATGAGATGGACTGGGATGACTCTGCTTTGACCATCACTGTGAACCCTATGGAGGTAAATCAGACTGGTGTCTCAGCATTTCACAAAAAATTCCTCTTTCAGCTGTAAGCGGTATGACTGTACACAGACAGAGTAGTAGAGCAAAAACAACCATAGAACACAGAGAGAACAGACACTGAGTTTTTAATAGATGCCCAAAAGTGACAAATCCCAAGAGTGGTTACGTTTGGGATCTTGCGTGGGCTGTAGCTTTGTGATACGTAACTGGGCAAGAATCACTTGAATCAGGCTTTACGGTTCAGTGTTCAATGCTAGTGTTTATCATGCTGCACTCTACCTTAGTGACAATCAGCTTTTTTCCCAAAGTTGCAAAAAGTTATTGTTGAAACATTGTCTGTACTTAGGATGTTTCTGGCTACTGTGTTTAATGTCTGAAATTTTGGAAAATCAGAAACAAGAAAGATGTGCAACCTTAATGTTATTTGTGTTATCTTACTGAAAGGTCTTTCTCCAGTAGAATTTAGTAGAATAAGTACTGGATCATACTTATGAATTAGTTTGGTTGGAGTGACAGGATTGATAGAAATGTTACAAAACAAGAAGAGTTATTTTATTGAGAGTTTAAGCTTTGTTTTCTGGTTGCCTGATTACTGTTGAACTTCTAAAATCAGTAATAAATTAATAGCTCTTTCTCAGTAAGAGTACTCTGTGCCCAATCCAAAAGAATAAAGGGAATTTTGGCTAGTATGATATCAACAGCCAATTTCTATCTTAACAGACTTATGAGGACCAACACAGCAGTGAAGAAGAAGAGGAAGAGGAGGAAGAAGAAAGCGAAGATGGAGAAGAAGATGACATCACTAGTGCAGAGTCTGAAAGTAGTGAGGAAGAGGAAGGAGAGCAGGAGGAGGACCAACAGAATGTTAATAGACAGCAACAGCTGGAATGGGATGACTCTACCCTCAGTTATTGATTCTAGCTGTTCCCTTTGTCTTTGTTTCTGCTCTAGAAGACTCCAGTGTAATACACTCCATTGTTCCCAAGGATTCATGGTGTTAAAAAAAAAAAATCATTCTGGCCAGTAGATTCAACCAACACACATCCCAGTGTTTGTGTTATGTCGGCTAGTTCCTGATGCTGTTTCTAGAATTGTAGTTAGCACCTCTTTTCCCTCAGCCATGCCTCAGTGACTGGATTTTTTTACACTATGTGAGGAACCACCTTGCACTTTCTCTTCATGTCATCTCAGCTAAGTGACTCTGCAGATCTGTAGCCATTGCACATGAATTTCTGAACTTTTTTTGCTCTGTGAAACAAATATGGCTTTGTTCCTTTTTGTCTTTCTGAAAGATACAAAGATTGCTTGTTGACAAAGGGTAAAGCTGATCATTTCAGCCTGTTGATTTCTTTTAATTTTTTTCCCAAATTAGTGCATGTGTAAAGTGGCAGAATGAGGTTAATATGTAGAAGATTAACAGACTTTTTAATATTTTGTAAATATATTGGAATTATGTAATTATGTCATTTGTGGTAGTGAAAACAGGGATTGGGGTATAAAACATGCTAAAGTAAAAAAAAATCATGAAGCATGAAGTAATACAAGTCTCATACTACTGCAGCAGGAGCACGGGCACAGTTTTCTAGTGTAGATGTTTCAGTAAAACAGTGTCATTGGCCTTGGCTGCCGTGTTCACTCATGCCCCACTCTGGTTTTTATTTTTCTTTTTTTTCCTCCAATCCTTTGTTTTTGCAGAGGGAACAGACAAGCTTATGAGAAACTGTAAAGGCTCTTTGGAACCTGTGCAGAGGTTCAACTGCCCAACTGCCCTGCCTAATACAGTTTGTTGGGTTTATTTTATTTTATTTTTTCTGGTAAAGTTTTAGCATAAGGGCTGTTTAAGTTATTGGGAGAAAAACACTACTTGGATGGTGGACAAACGAGTGTGCTGGTGCTGTGGTGTGCTGCCACAGCACCTACTAATTACAGTGAGGCTGCCTGTAGTACAATGATGGTCTGTTCATCTTGCTGGCAGGACAGATTGTTTGTTTAGTTGATTGTTACATTGGTAATTGAAGCTGGAAAGCCTGAGACCTGTGTACCTGCGCACCTTGGCTACCAGTCTACATAGATAGGTTTTTAGTTTATTTGACTGTTCATTTTTTTTGCATTTGGGAATGGGAGGGTTTGGGGCATAGCTGATACCATTTCTATTAACCACACTCCTGCTCATTCCCTGTAGCTCCTTGTACAGTAACTTGGACTGTTGGTGTATTAAGCCTTTGTTTACACTTAGTAATTGTGTTTTCCTGCTGGTGAAACTATAGCATAAATTATCCAACCAGAAAACCTTGGGAATCACATTAATATTATTCCAAGTCATGGCTGATTTTGGTTGTTTCCGATCAAAGTTCTAACTTGGAATTGCAAAGGACTTTTTTAAAGAACTGACTGAAAGGTACGAAAAGTAAGTTATGACCCCATGGTGGAGAGTGCTAGTTTTTTCGTAAGGCAGGTCTTATTCATTTAACTTTACTTGTCCTATGCAGAGCCTTGAATAATGAATATCTGCTTACTTGATTTTTTTATGTTTGGAGGTGGATTAAAGAGTAACTTGTTTTGCTTGTAACAGGAAACTAGGACTCCATTCACTCCTCAGCACGGTAAGCAAAGTTTCAGTTTTTGATCTTGTATGTAATCTGCCTGTGTTCTAGATGCACAGACCACACATGTCATAGCAGGCTAGTTAGTGGCCGACAGTACACAGCAGGGAAATGTTGCGCTGGATAAGCCTGCTAGAGGAGCAACAAGCAAGCCAAAAGGTGGGAAAGGAATGGGAGAAAAAGGGTCATCGTTTAAAAAAAGATTAAGATTGATCCAAATGTGTTCTATAGTTTTGATTTTCAGAGCAGACCTATTCTCACCTAGTGCACATCTTGCCTCCTGATGTATGTAATGGGATCTAATGGTGGGTTTTATCTGGTGGTAACACTTGACTCTGTGGAGTGCCTTTTACAATAATAGATGGACCTGGAAGCAGGGGAGAGAACCCACACAACTAGCTTACCGTTTTATTGTTTTTTTTTTAAATGTAAAATTTTAGATTTCTAAAATGGGGAAATGGTTTTGACTACTTATGTGGTAATATAACTGCTAGTTTTAAGTAAACTGGGAAACTTTTAACTTATGTCTGACAGTTGTCCTGTGTTAATGTGTAGAAGACTTATCCTTCCATATACTGTCACTGTAGCTGCTGTATTTTAGACTAAAACTGATCATGACTTAATGGTAATACTGAAAGGTTGTAAACGTTCTGATGCAGTTTGTAGCCACTGTGGGTATAACTTTCAGATGTGTATATTGGTAACAGGTCAGTTTGGAAAGTCTATAAGCTACAATAAATTTCTGGTTCTAAAGGTTGTTTGCATTTATTTCTTACTGAATGGAATGAAGTTGGGTCAAGTTGTATTTAACTGTGTGTTAGTTTGCCTAGTAGTAGAGTCCAGTTTTATTTTCATTGATCTTTCAAGCACAGAAGGAGTGGGGCATCGTGGTGTACAATTTAATCTTTTTTTTATTACTTTTTGTTGTACAAAACATGTACCTAAAACAACTGAAAAGTTAAACATGTAAACATTCTCTTCTTACAGAACCACGTTTTGACTTAAAAAAATACTTTTTTCAAAGGCAACAGAATAAGCACAATCTGTTTTTACAGTTAAAAAAAATCACAAAAAACATCTCTAAATAAATAGAAGTAGAAAGGGGCATCACCTTGAGCATATTTATAAAATCAGAAGTTACTTATTTACAGTGAAATGTAACATTTTTCAAAGTAATTTAAGTTTTAATCTTCGGTACAATTCAACATGCTGGGAAGTATCAGGTGAGCTGCTGTTTTGTCAATCAGAGACAGAAGCCTCTTTGCTGACCCAATACAGCCATCGGAATTTCATTAAAGATGCTATTCCAGTGGAGTACAAGGGAGGAAGTCCACTCGCTGACTCATGGACATTCTTACTTGTAGGTAAGTCAACTTTCTAGACTACAAAACCTACCTAAAACTGTGCTGAATTGAGAAACACTTTTGGAATCGCTCAGTTCTAGCAGTTTATTCTGATACAACTTTGTTTTATTGCACTTGTACAATTGAAGGACAGATGACATGAGCCACTGCTGCTTTGTACTTCTATAAAACCGGGTATGAACTGCTGCGAGCCTGCAAACAGATTACCTAAGAGTGACCAAGGAACCTGCTAGGTAAGACTGCCTTTCTACATTATGACAGAGGGGATCCTGGATTTTCAGTTGATGGCAGTGTAAGAAAATTGCATTTACATTTACAGATGTGTAGCATGTTCCCTCCTATTGTGATCACAGTGCATCTCACTGTGGATGTGGCCTAATGAAAAAAGTGCCTGTGAAAGCACAGGCTCGCTGTCAGTTGTGGCGGAGCAGCTGACACATGGTAATCTGCTCCCCTGTGGAAATGCTTGTGTTTGTCCAAGTCCTTACGGTACTGGAACTTTTTAATTGGGTGTAAGAGAGATGAGCATATCCCTAGTGCTACTTTGTGATGCCCTTTTAGCCTGTGAAGCAACAGGCTATACAATCTGGCACTGAAAAGGAAAAGTATCCTTATAATACTTAAAATATTAGCTAAAAACATGTCAGATGGATTACTCTCATAATTTGTTAAACAGTTCAGCTTTGTAATACTATATTTACAAATAGAGATCCACTGCTTTAAGATTTAGTTTGAAACCTGAGACCAATAACTGCTGTTCAGTTCAAGAAAACAGTGAGGAATATACTACACGTGGGAACCACATCAGTGAAAGCAATTTATACCGTATGGCAGTATTCCTTTCACAGAGGACAAGTCAAAGACCATTTGAAGCTTCTTTTAGTCTAATCTCCAGAAGCAGCAGCCATTCTAGAGTCCTGTCTCCAGTCAAGATAGGGTCAGTTTATACACATTTATCCAATGCTGATTTGCTAGTGTTATAAGTCAAATGCATAGCTATGGGTTGACACGAAGCCTGGCTTTAGGTTCTAGCTATCTAGGGTGTGTAACATAGGGAAAGTACAGCACAACAGTTGCTTTTTGTAGCTGCAAACAGGCTTTCAATATTACTTAATATGCTGACAAACTGTTAGAGAGGGTTGTGTAGTAAATAATATGGGTCAATTACAAAGGCACATACCATTCTATCTTGACATGTTCTGCCAAATCTCAGTCACATACAGTCATTTGAAAGGTGTAATGAAAGGGGATCAGTGAGGATTGTGTCAAGTTAAAGCAGTTGTCTGCTGTCTAACTGCGGCTTCTGGAAAGAGGTGCTGTATGAGAAGCAACCTGGTTTATACCACATATAGAGATAACAGTATAGAATAGACTTCATATCATGAAAAGAAACCTTAAGTATGTAAAACAATTTAAATGAGCCACAATGTTACATTTAATCCATCATCTGGTATCATCTGTTTGTATATATAGACAATGAAGAAAGGTTTTTTTTATTAAAGTTGTTTCATGCATACCAAACATCATTATATCTACTTGTACTTTCTACAGAGGTAGAAGTTACTTTAAGGCAGTATTAACTTAGTTATGCAGCTTATGAAAAATATGTTTGAACTTGTGCTTTTTAAAAACCAGTGGACTTAGCCAGTATTACCTGGAATCATTTTGTTTATTTTGAAGTACCAGGAGTACCTGGTTTTAAAAAGAGCTGAAAGTCAAGAATGAGTTGTACCTAGATGCTGGATGCAAAAACAATATCGAATCAAATTTACCCCATAACAGGGGTAAATCTACTAAGAATAAACAGTTCAGTTCAGCCTCTGTCCGAAACTGGCTGGTTTTGTGTAAGCTTTAGGCAAAAATAATTCAAACCAGTCATGGAAGCTAAGTTTATATGAGAGTAGACCATTGTTTGACAGTATTTGGATTTCTTGTCACTTAGGAAACATGATACGAAAAGCCTGTATTTCACAGGATCACAGAATGTTAGGGATTGGAAGGGACCTTGAAAGATATCTAGCACTGTTCAATCTAGTTAAGGGCATACGATCAAAGATCTGATTCAGCTTTAGTGATGTCTTGAAAATTGAATGATTTTGTCATTCCTTAACATGTAGGAATGATAGCACCTTCATAGGAACATGATGTTGTAGAGAACACAGGGAAATGGAAAGAAAGCACCTCAGGGAACTGCTAAAGGAAGCAGATACTAACCAGACTACTTCACTTATCTTCCAGCATGACCCATAGGCTGCAGCCTGCTTGATGCACCTCACTGTGCTCACATGAGGCACAGAGGGACAGCAGTGGCTCTTGTTCATCTGTCCCTTTGCAACACCAGTGCTCAGAACTGCCCACCAGGTGAGGACGCTAGCTGGAAACAAAAATATGACACAGGAGTAGAAATATATGATTAACAACAGCACCTTGTGGGAGAGGAGGTTCCACCTGGGAAAAAGACGTAGGCAGCCGTGAGAGCAGAAGGCTGGAACAGTTTGTCCAGCTGTAGGTACCAGCACAGATGGCTGCACCTTGCTCTTTGGCTCCACCACCCCGTACAGACACAGAGTCTTTGCACCCCAGCTCTAATAACAGACAAAAAGTCATGTACCTTAGTTGAGAGCAGGATGTGTGTTGGAAAAGAACAGAGAACAAATTTGTAAGATGAATTGAGATGCAACTTCTTGCAAGTAATTTTTCAGTGTTAAACCCACTCATCTGGCACTCCTCTATCGTTACACAGGAAGGCAGACTGGCCAAATAACTTAAGCACAGAATGGTGCCATCTGTCCCAGCTGACACTGGATTACAGTGTTGTATCCTAGTGATTACGTAGGTGTAGGCCAGCGCCCTGCATGCGTGCAGTAGAGGGAAGCCAGGTGGCCAACGAGCTCTAATGTACCCCAACAGGAGGTACATGTAGCAACCAATTACTTGCCAATTTTCAAAATGCAATCTTAATGTTTTCAGGCTTATGAACAGAAAAAAAAAATCCAGGAACGGCTTGAGGTGGAACTAAAGTCCGATTTAGGAAAGCAAACAAATGTACCTAACCCACATTAGGCTGACCCAAGCCTGTTCTTGTAGCATCAGCTTTTAGACAGCAATAGCTGGACTCCAGTTCCCTTTCAGAACATTTTGGCCTCTGAAGCAGAGAGATAGTAATACAATAGTATGGATATTTTTCCCTGTCACACTGCAGAGTAAAACAATTCACCCAAGTAGGTTTCAGAGGTGATTTAGACTGACCTACCTTGCTGCACACTGAAACAGGCTAGAAGGAGTGATCACGTAGTGAGTTAAAGCCTCTGAGCTGTAATGGTAGGGGCCTAGAAGAACAGCTATAGTATAAGAGCTATAGGATAGCTTTTCAGTGTTCAGCTGAATTGTCAAGAAAATAGACACATTAGCCCACTTAATATCTTCAAAGGATGTTACAACAGCCTAAACTCTTCCATTAGAAGATGTATTTGAAGCTTAACAAGTTCTTAAGGATACAGTACATCTACCTACCTTTCACTGTGCAGTAATTTTATTGCCTCATGCCTGCCCCTTGTCCCCCAAAGATCTAGAGCAGGCATGATTAGGCAGCTGACGACAGTCCAACAATCTTCAGTCATGCAGAAAAGTGTGACCTCTGGGAATGCAGGTGAGGGATCTTGAACACAGCAACATTCATCAGTCTTTATAAAACAGTCTACAATGGCTGGATTCAGTGCAAGTGGCATTACATTCTCTCGGAGCGAGTGTGCAGGCTGACTCAGTTGCTCTACTGTCTGTTATCTTTGGATACGTTGTGTGCTAGCCAGTTCACTTTGGTTTTCCAGCTCTCTCGCAGGGCTTCATTAAACTTTAGTCTGAAGTGCTTTAGTGCCTCCTCGTCCGTTTTACCAAGAGCTAGGGAATCCTGAAGGTAAGAGGCAGAAATCAGCGTAGCCTTACTGAAAGGGCAACTGAACAATTAATGGCTAAACTGCTAAAATATTTACTTGCTCAGAAATTACTCTACTGAAAGGAGCGCTGTGTAGGGAACAAGTACCCAAGTAATTGTTTTGAGTGGTTACTATAGCTGCACATTTTTGCATTCCAATAAATAGATGCATCCTACTCTTAGCTTGGAATTAGGGAAGCATTAGATTTTTTAGTAATCTTGTACAAAGCTACTCTCTTTCAAATGGACAAAGCTAGGTTGTTATAATGTAAGAAGCAAGTTGAGAACAGGAAGTGATACTCCACTAAAGAGTTCTCTGTCCTCTTAGCCTGCAAGCTGGTTCTACAAGGTACCTATTGCCTTTGTGCTGAAGAATCTGATGAAATTCTTCCCTGAGCACCAGTACCTTGCATTTCTGACACCTGCATAAGCATTGGATGTTTACTCACAGTTTTTGCAGCTCAGTTGCTTCAAAGAAACTTCCACTGTGACCTACTACTCCTCACAAAACTACATGATCGGGTGTTCAGTTTCAGCTGTATCCAGGCTCTGCTTTTCTTACCTTTAGATACTGAATGTCTTTAGAGCAGCTGAGTTCTGGCAGGCCAGCAGCTTTCATCAGTGCAAACAAGTGCAGGAAGAGAAGACCGTGGCGCCTCAGAATCATATAGGCTTTTTCACAATAACCTCTGAATCTATTCAGAAAGGAAGATGAGGCAAAGCATTGAAGACTTAGTGAATTGAAGAATAATGAATACACTATTTTATAAAGCAAGTCTGAGGCCTGCTGTCTGCATTGATGACTAGCATGTCATTTCACCTCATTTAAACCTAATTATTTATTTGCTTTACCTTGTTTGTATATAATCAAATGGACTAGCTAATGATTGTAAGTTCCTCAGCTCTCCATTTAGCAAGAGCTAGGAACATCTGATTGTATTGGATTATCTAGTCCAGGGATGCATCCCCACAGCCACAAACCTGAGTCCAAGAACATGGACAAGGGACCACAGACTACAGCAGCTATTTTATGCAATGAGATTTATGCAATTTTTTGAAACTATTTTATGCAATGAGATTTGACAGCTGCAAGGTAAGTGGCTGACTCCTCATATATTCCATCACTTTTAAAAGCCAGTTCAGAGCCATCTAATCTAGGCAAAGGTCAAGGGGTCATGCTTGAGCCTGTGTGTGCTCTGCCTGCATTGATGGATTTAACAGCTATAGGCTACATAACTCTGCTAAAAATATATTGTGGAAATTCAGAGCTTAAAAAGCTTAAGTCAAATTTAACTGCTAACACTTACCTTTCAAACTTCTCATTGTTGTTAGTTTTTCCTTGTTGGATGACATGCACAAAGTCATAGGTTAAGATGAAAGGAACTCGTTCTCTATTAATACCAAATTTGGTTTTGAAGTTCCCCAAAAAGTGACCAAAATCAATATGGAACAGCTGGAAATAAGGAAAAAAATAATTGTTTTCAGAATTGTACTTCTTTTAGCCAACCTCTCTTCATGGTTACTGTATTCAAAAGATACTGACCATAGGATTTTGGAAGGGAAAAAACTGACCTGTCCATTGCACTCCTTTGGGGAAAGCAGCAATATTTACTTGCCAAGATAGCCCCCAGTGTAATTAGAGGTGGGAGAGGACAGAAAAGGTACTTAGCTCTTTAGTACTTGGTGTAGCTGGAAATACATTTTAAAAGCCTTAGGGTGTCAATAGGAAAAGCAGAAAGAGAATGGGCTGGTGTCTAACTCTACCAGTGCAGTCTGCAGTCCCAGACTGTGGAAGTAAGACGTCCTCTTGCTACAAAACATTTATTTATTCAGGTAAGGCTTTCCACCACAGCCACCTTTTTTTTTTTTTTAAATACAAAGTACAGTGAAGTTGTTTCATTACGGGTGCAATGACGGGAAGGAAGATCATGTGCCAAACCTTGTGCATTATGGCGATTTTACAGAGCTACTGTAAACCCCAGAGCATAAACAAAACCAGCAGCTGCATACCACAGGGCATCAGCTCCCCCAAGTGGACGAACTGCTAAGTGGCCCCTACTCTGCAGAAACAGCTTTGTAGGCTTCCTTCCCAACACTTTGTTTTTTATATGGTGAGAAGAAGCAATCCTAGATAACAGCTGCTGCTAATCACAGCCCAGGGAGAAAGGTTAGTGTCTAGTTAGTGAATGACGTGGTGGCTCTGTCCCTGAAATGATAAGAGAACAACGGCACTACTAGGTTTTTATGACCGTGACTGCTTGGATTTAGGGGAATAAGATGTAGAAGAGGGGGATGTTACACAGAAACAGTACAGGCAGGCAAACTGTTGCCAGGAGTCTCAAAACATCAGCAGCTAATTTCTTACTTTGAACCATTAGCTGGCTGACTTTGCTGGATCTGTAGGAGACGAAGCTTGCAGTGGCTAGCACAAGGTTGTTGAGGCATTGTAGAATTCACAATTAAACAAGAGACATAGTTTATACTTTCTCCTCTACCAGAATATTACTAATGTAATTTAGTCCGTACTCTACTAGAAAAAGTATTTTCTTTTTTTCTAGTTTTGTCCTTTATATTTCAAACAGTGTAAGAGAAGATAATATAAACCCTAATAACTATTCTTGTGTACTAGAGAAGTACAGGAATTGGTACAGGTGAAATTAAAACCACACTGATCATATGCAACCATTTAGAAAAAAAATCTAGGAGAAAGACTATAAAAATACCATCTTGGGCAAGTAACTGAGGATCTTAACTAGCAACTACAAGCGATTTGAAATTCTGCTGAAGCCAAGAAAGTCTTCAGACTGGTAAATACAGTGCTCAGGTTTGGATCTCTAGACAGTTTTATGTCTGAGAGGTATGAATTGTTACACTGTGATTTCAAAGTGGGTATTAACAGCAGCCTGATAAGATATTACACTGGCAGCTCATGACACTTACTTAGATAAGTGGTTTCAAATTATAAGACTGTATTTACCCTCTCAGTGATAGAAGCTATTGAGACCAGTTGACCAGTCTGCCTCTGCTGGAAGGGGAGGTACATTCCTTAGCAGTAGGGCTGCACTGGGATGGTTCTGTCCATTGCTAAGTCACCTTCATGCCCCTCTCCAGCAGCCGCAGCAAAGCCTCTTACCTGGCCGGTTTCCCGGATCATGATGTTATCGCTGTGCCGGTCGCCTATCCCCAGCACGTATGTTGCCACGCAGTACCCAGCACAGGAGAGAGTGAACTCCTCTATAGCTTGTTCTAATGCGTCACTGAAGAGGGTACGAAAAAGGTGGAAATGACATTTTACTTTGAATACCAGTACTTCACAGCTGGGAAGGCTGTTGTTATAGCTTTCCCTATGCAGAAATGCAGGAGAAGGTTAAGGGAATTATGTGCCTGAATTACACCTTCTGTAGTGTACTCGAGTCAGTATTCCCATCCACACTTAAAAACCAGCTGCAGTAAAAACTGTCCGTAATTGGAGAGGCCTGGGTGAGATTCTCTCCACACTCTCAACTAAAATGACTTGGTATTAACTCATTTCTAGGTCTCCACAGATCCAAAACATCACCTTGAATGATTCCTGCTAGCACCTTTGGAGTTTGAGCAGGGTAGGACTGATATTTTCTGCTTTCCATTTCTGCACCTGCTAAACCCCCCAAGCTGCACAGCTGCTTTGCTGTTTTCTTCTTTTACCTTCCAGTTTTGGCATTGCTCTTTCCACCCCTTTTCCAGCTGTTACCACACTGACTACCTACTCAAGAAAGTAACAGGACTGAGGGGAAGGCCAAGCTTTGGATCCAACCTGTGGCAAGTGCTACCTTAAGCTATTGAAGGTTAAAAAAGCTTGCGGACAGCAACTCTGATGCCTCCAGTTCTGTTCCAAGATCCCTATAGCTCCACAAATGCCTTCTAGTGCGCTATGCTGTGAAGCAGGACAGCTTGGAAATAGTAACTGAAGGGAAAAAGCAAAAGAGCAAAGCACAAGACTTGTCTCTGGCTATAGGAAAGCAGAAAAGCACCACTGAGTAAAGGACAAGCCCACTTACCCTGGGTTCTTGGACTTCAGCCAGTTGAGCAGTGCGTCCTTGTTGAAGGCTGCAGTGGCCACCATGTTGCTCTTGTTCAGCTGGATGTTAGCGATGGTATCTGAGTGCATGACTACTTCTATCAGCCCAGTCTTGTCTCCTGTGGAGAGGCAGCCATAAGGGGTCATCCTGCAGAGATGAAAGAAACCCTTCCACTGAAATATTGCCACAATTGGGGTATCTTGACTTTCAAGCTTTCCCTTGTCTCCTGTATCAAAAGCAAATTGGTAGAGGAAAGCCCAACAGTACTTTTTGCCTACATTTTATGTTTGGAATCAAGGGAAATCCCACAATTCTTCAAGGTGTTGAGCCAGCAGAAATATTCCTACGGGCCTACCTACCTTCACCTCAGAGTGCTTCAGGTGTGCTAAGGGCAGGTTGCATTTTGGGTGCACAGAAGACAGAGCATCTTCCAACAGGAGGGTGTCTAAGCCAACTACCAAGCACTGGTTTGGTACAGATAGCCTCCCAGGGCCACAGATGCAGCATAACTAAGGCTTAATGGAAAATTGGTGAAAAAGCCTCATTTGAGCCCAATACCACTTGCATCCTAACTTAACAGCTGTGCAGTTGTTTCTAGCAGCAGCAAATCCGAAATTCAGGTCCAGTAACAACATACATCATCAGCACCTGCTTGCTATCAGTGAATTTCCACAGCCTCTGCTCCTGGACTGTATTACAGTCCCCATGCTTCATCCTTCCCTAAACCTCGCTGTATGGGAACAGCTGCAGAGTGTTACTTAAAATAGAACTGCCTGAATCCCTTCTCCTTCACAGTTCATTTAGTTGGGAGTCTCTGATATCCCAGCTCTTTCTCCCACCTCTCATTGCATTTCTACCCTCAGCACCATAAAACCTGACTGGCTGCTCACAGAATACTGGACAGACCTGGCAGAGACGAAACAAGATTGTAGGTAAAAACGTCTCACAACACCTCATCTACCACTGCAGCAGGCCAGCGGGGAGCATGTTACTCACCTCAGGTCCAGGCCCTCCTGCTTCCACAGAACATCCATCAGCTGGATCATCTGCAGAGTCAGCATGTCCTGACGAAGATCTACGCAGCATGACAAAGGAAGAAAGGGTTATGAGTACCTCCCATTTTTCCCTCTTGTTCTGTTGCAGTTGAACTTGTTCTGCCCCTGCAGCAGGTTGCTAGAGAGGGCCCTTGCCAGGTGTGTCACTTGCTCGCACAGAACACCATCACCAGAGTAACATCTACTAGTGCAGGAACATTGCAAAGCCACCATACCAGTATAATCAGGTCTGAATTAAGGTACCTGATGGAGATAAATTCTACTTCACTTTGCCAAAGACAATGTAGCACTTAACTAGAAAACATCTCCCTGACACAACAGTGAGCAGGAGCAACTCTGACCCTACAAGGCTTGGACTGATGCATCATTTCCAGACCTCACATTTTACTTTGCAAGTGTATCCAGCTATAAATGAGTGGTACTACTTTGTTAAAGTTTTATGAAATACAGAGGAGAGTCTAGTACATCTCCAAATTACATCTCCAAATATTAACAAAATTAATTTTGTTAATAAGGCCTGATGGTCCTTATTAACAAAAAATATTAATGGTCCATTTTTCAGCCCATTTACCACAAAAAAATATATAAGACTATAACACCTTTGAAAGCACCTCCTTTAAAGACTTACCATCTCCATTTTTAAAAATGATCCCCACTCCACCGCCACTTGTCTCTTCATTATTAAAAACAATCCATAAAGGTTTCATTTTGGAGTCCATAAAGGTGCACTGATCCACACTAAGGGAAATAAAAATACTACCATCAGTCAGTGTTTCTACCTATTAAAAAAAGCATCCATCTAAGCTGCAAATGCAACAACATCCAGCACTGTTAATGAACATGTGCTGCCCATGAGCAAAGAAGGCATTAGAGTAACCAGAAACCTGGCCCTGCTGCTGAACAAAACCTGCAGCACAACAGGAGGAAGAGGTGCAGCTATCTTGCTTACCAAACTTCAGCGAGGATAATGCTGGGGTTTAGGGGAGACTGGAGGTGGGAAAGTGCTTCAAGATAAGTTTCCTGCTTCATGCACACATGCATCATCTCTTTGGTTTGAGGCTTGGTGGCCTTCTGAGAACTCACTTTAACAAAGTCATTCAGAGCTTTCATTTTGTTGAGTGCTTCTCCCTACAAAGAAATGGAGACATGGAATAGGGTTAACAAATAGGAAGTACCCGGAGCAAGGTTAAAAACTATAACAATCCAGTGTGCAATATAAACATTGCTTGTATTGCTTACTTTTTCCCTCAACTTGTAGCGATTCACACATTACAACAAAATGAATTTCATACCATCTGCTGAAGGTACAAATCTATAATGCGTTACAGATATTCTGCTGGGCACAAATGTATCGCGAGGTCATGACTGCCATCCTAAATACCAGGGATGATGCATGACATCAAGCACCAGAGGAAGACATGAGGTGCACTGGCTAGAAGAGTCGAGGATGAGTTCTATAACCCCTGCCCTGTAAGGCTGTTTGGGAGTTCTGGTTATGCAAAAGCACCACTTCAGCTTGCAAACAGAAGAAGCACTGGTTTGTGGGCACATAGCTCTGACTGCCTGTATGCAGGAGTCCCTCACTTCTGAAGTGGTTACAGTGAGCCTTGACAAATAATAAAGTTTCAGAGAGTGGGCAATGACCAGGATTACCTCCACATGGCAGCTGAAGGAAAGACTGCATTGCTCCAAATCAGGCAGAGAATTTTGATCAACTCCTGCTAGATGACAATTCATTCAACTCCTCTACTAACAGCAGGCTGGACATTTCAAACCATTCCAGACACATCTTGTAGTTTGGGACGTGAGGGGGTGAGTAAGAGATGAGCAAAGTTGCATGTGATGGGGGAACTCCAAGCTCATAATAGGATATGCCAAAAACAATATCGCAGTTGCAAGGCTCTTTTTGTATTACTGATAACTTTAAGTTGAAAAAACTAACAGCTGAGAACAAGCTCCAAGCAAAAGGGATGTCAATCTTACGGCTAAAAGCAATTTTTACCTGTTTCATCAAAACTTTTATATGATGGGTGCTGCCTCTGCAATATGCTTCCAGGATCAAGCCAAACCTCAAGGCAACTGCAGGGACATGCATTTCTGACCTAGAGGAAGAAGGGAGGTTAAAGCAAAAGTGACTCACCACAATGAGCGAGTAATTCTCCCATTCATGCCAGCAAAATTGTGGAGAGAGAAGAGAAAAAAACAAACACCCTCCCCAGAAGGTGCTGTGGAAAAAGCATTGCTTGAAGTGGTGAGACATCTTCTCAATGACTAAAAGGTTAACCACTCCTTTGAAAAGATTAACTGAGGAGTAAGGACAGGTCAGAGCCTATGGCTCAGAGCTGGCAGGTAGCCAGGGATGTCCAAAGTAAATTTCAACTCCAGGCATGTAGAAATAAATAGGGAAAACAGAGCCTAACCCAAACAAAACTCCTCCCCTCCCTGCCACCTTGGAAAACAAACAAGCAAAACAATCCCAAACCAACCAAAAAATTTCACATCCTCATTCAATAAACCTCATTCAGTCTCAAGTAAAAAGCAGCAGTTCCTGGGGATTTGTAAGCACAAGAAGAAAATCCCATTCATGCTCTAGTGAAAGACACTTAGGTAAAGGCCAGCCCATAGCCTTTACATAAATACCCTGGCGTCCACACATACAGACATCCTTGCTATTTCATTTCGCAGTGCAACGAGGAATCTGGTAAGTGCCAGTCTCACTTTATTACTGAGCAAAAGCCAAGAACATTTGTTCTTACCTGAGATGCCAGAAGAGGAAGTGGCCTATCTTACGGTTGGATAATGCCCTATCCAGCAGGAACTTGGTTAATTCACAGTCTAAGTAGGATTCATACTTGAGCACCTGGACAAGCTGCAGCAGGTACTGGAACAATTCGTTATCTCTGTGGACAGAAAGGCAAAATAAAAGACCACCTCATCTTTACTGCAATGTAGATACAAAAACAGTATTGAAAAGACCATCAGCCATGTTCACAGTCCTTATTAGCAAACCTAAACATGTATAGAAAAGGGATCCACATGCCCTAGTGCTGAACACTTACGTCAGCTTCTTTAATGAGTTGATAGCAAAGGAGCCAACATAACGGTCAGGGAAGCTGAAATCCAGCAGCTCCAAGGCATTCAGGACAGGCAGCTCTGGCCAGGTCTGAAGCAGGGAAATCATCTGTAAGGGCAAAAAAAAGAGCAAAAAGGGAACAAGTTTTTTAAGTTTTCCCAGGGGAAGGGAATAAGTTTTTTTATCTACTGATAGGAGCGCAGATCCTTTGTGGGGGCAAGGGTAACCCACTATCTCAGTCACTAAAGATATCTCAGAGTCAGCTTGCAGAAACCATGTCAAATACCATTAATCTTAGGGAAAAGCACTGTTCTGTAGCAGAACAATGTAGACTGAAAGGGGATCTTTAGAAGCTCCTATAAAAGCTCTTGAAGTGAGGAGGGATGAACAGCACAGACATCATCCCTCACTGACATCTGAAGTTCTCAGTGCAAGAGATTCACTGACACCTTGTAGCTTGTGACTGGTCTCTGACTATCAATTAAGAATATCCAATCCAGATCCCATTTCTGGCTGTGAAATAAATTATTTTTTCTTGCCTCCAGTTTCTTCCTTTCTAGAGGGAATAAGCACTACTTTGTTGGTCAGTAATGAGCCCAGGACAGCGCACAGAGCCAAAGCTCAACTCATTTGGGTACCACTCAGCATACAGAGGTGCTCGCAGCAACTGGGATGGAACAGAACAGAAAATTTTGCTCAGCTGTAGCCAATCCTGCCTGCACAGGGGCACTGCCAAACATCCCTAGTTAAAGTGGTCTCTCAAACATAACAGAGGGATATGGACACTGAAAGATACATTAAATGTGTCCTGACTGCCAGCCCCAGCATCCTCACCTGGGCAACATCTTCATGCTTGTTCCATTTGGTGATGATAAGGAGCTTTGCCAAAGCTTGTGGGTACTGGTCACGGATATCATATCTCATCTTCCACACCAGGTCTTTCTCATGCTCATAGAGCTCAGTGTGGCTCCTCCGCTCCAGTATCTCCTTCAGTTGCAGCTTCTGCTCATGGGAATCACAGAAAAGAGCATACAGAGGGCTCAGCCTCAACCCAAAGGGCTTGCTCAGCTCAGAGAAACCCCACAGGACCCATGACCCGGGTTGGTGAAAATAGCTGGTTGTGGGCAAGATAGAAATACATGACTTGACCTAAGAAACTCACCTCCTCTGGATCTTCTGGTGCAGTGCGGGGTGGTTCTCCATTCCTGCCCAACTCCAGCAGCTGGAACACAAATACAGAATTCTCATTTCTTAACGCCACCTTGCCATCACTTCAGGCATTTATGCTGCGTTAGAGACCAGTCACTTGCTACCTTTGGAGAAAGGGATCACCCCTCACAGCCCAGGTGTAGGTAATGTACTCAGTGGAATCTCTGCTCAAAGGTTTAGCCCATGGTGCCCCTTCCCCAGTAGGGATGAGAATCGAGGGATGAATTTTTCCTCCAAGAACAGCACAACTGCACACCCACATGGTCCATGTATGGGGCGCTGGGTCACTGAACTCCAGGCTAACACAAACCACTCCAGGTTCCTACAACTGGCACGTGCTTGCCAAAGAGACAGCACTGCCCAAAGCGCCTTGCATGCTGGCACAATCTGTTAAATCTTCTGAGCCAGAACGTGCATCACGGATGAGCATCTGTAAATGTCCTTGGCAGAGCAGATCTCCTTCTTTCCTGCAATAGGCACATTTCTTCTTCCACTTTAAAAGTCTGGCCAGTTGCAGTGACAGATGGAAAATTCTCATACCACACAGTACGTTATCATTCAGTGCTGAAAGGAGGGAGCCATCTCCTTTCACTCATTTCCCCTGATTTCTTTCCTATAGAGCCCAGTGCCGCCTGCAGTTTAAAGGCAGCTCAGTTAAACCCATTTGCAAACAAACGCTCACGAATGACAGTATTGTACCTTAGTACTTCCTTTCAGTTTGGAAAACTATTCAAAGGTCCAGTAAAGGTTAAGAGAAAAGGTCATTTTTTCAATTAACAATATCCATTCAATTAGTTTGTACCTGGTCTTTGTCAGCAGCCACCCAAGGGACAGTGATATTGCATGCTCCTGCACTAAGAAGCTAGAGCATTTTTGTGCCTCCCTAAAAAGCATCCATGCCCCCTACCTGCTCAAATGACGGGTAATACACAGGATGCGATGCAACGTTGGGGAAGCAGATGACCAAGGATGCTGCACTTTCCGTGTTGGGGTTGCACTGTACTGTGCCCATGGGGTTCAGAAGTTCACCTTTCTCATCTGAAAAGCAAAGTACATAACCTATAAATCCTAATCTGCTGTAGCTTTGGTCCAGAAAGCAGAGCACAGAATTGCTTCCAGCTCTGTCAGTGGTCATTGCACTTCATTTTCCTGACCTCTCACGACCAAAACATACATGGTATCTGCAGGACAGCAACAACCTCTTATGACATGTGTGCAATGCCAGGTAAAACAAGGCCTTAATTTCAGCAGGGCTCTAGGTGCCATCACAGTATAGAGCAGTAACAGTACTGGGACTGCTAGCACAGAGTTCCTGCAGCACCAGTACATCCTTCCTACAACCCCTTGGAAAGCAATGGAGAATGCAGGGCAGGCCCTGTTTCTGTGGTGGGGGCTAAAGACACAGAAAAACACGGTAGCTCTGGCTCCTGACATACCTGGAAAGGAGGACCACATGTGCAAGCAGCACTCCCCCGTTTTCAGCTGGTCCTTATAGTCGAAGAGCATGACATTCACCCAGGCAATGGGGCAGTCCTGGAAAGCAAAGAAAGAAACTTATCAGGGTGCTCTAATTGCAAAAGCTGAGGGAAGGGAAGAGCAGAACAAGAAAGAGATATCCCTATGCAAAGCAAATCCCTCACAACAGCCAGGGATAAAAAAATTACACGATCTCCTCAATTTCTTCCAAGTCTGCAAATTGCTGCACAGAATGCTGCAGGCAGGTAGTTTTCCATTGCAGAGTACACAGGCATCCCCTCAAAGAGCTGCTGGAAAGAATTCACCACCCCAAGTGGCGATGCCTGCTGCCTACCTTTTAATTTCTCCTAAAATTAGAGGATAAGAGAGCATCAAATTCAGACATTTACCAAAACCTAGGGTCCTTTTTGTAGTGCTGAATGGCACCAAATGAAATGAAATGGCACCACAAATATGTCTAAAGCTTCATCACTCAATATTTTGCAGAGCCAAAGATACTCTAAGAGTCCAGTAAGGCCTCACAACTCTAAACTCAATGATATTTGAAGGAGCTGACTTATAACCTTCCTATATTTCACAGCTTGAGGGGAGACCAAAGAGCCTCAATTTAGAAACAGGGAAGAGACGGTTAACACAACCTGGGAAAACGATACAGAATGCTAAATGTGTCTGATAATGGGAAGAAAAGGCTGGAATCCTTTGTACAGTAATGAACACTGTCTGTCTATAGATGACAAACTTTACCTTATCAATCCCAACAACAGCAGCATTAAAAAAAAAAAAAATATCCCAAAAGCCTAAACTCAACCCAGTTATACAAGTCAGTCTCATTTCGAGGGTGAAGGATTCCAGCAAGTAAAGTGTCTGGGACATGGTCAGGAAAGAGAATCCATCTCCATGCTCCAACCCAGTTCCCCGCCACTAGAATGGACAGGCATATCCCATAAGTGACCTAAGATTTCCTGTGCTCGGGTTCCCCGAATGGAACAGTTGACTTCATTTAACAGTTTCAGCAAAACCAGTATTTCACCCAGCTGCTCAGAAAACAACAAGGTTTAAGTGAACACCGGCACAGAGACTGACTTACAAAGAGGCTGCAAGGCAAAATTCTGGTGAGATAACCCGCAAACTGCGTAATACTGAAAGGGATCCCCACCGAGGCATTTTCCTGTTCCACTGACACATTCTAGAGAATATCTCTCTAGATCTCTCCAGAAGAGACACCGAAAGGCTTGGTGGATGTAGCAAAGTCAGCATTTTTCCCTAATGCAGCTAAATGAATCACTTCCAAGTGGCCTCTCACAAACCTTGGTGTTGATTTGATTAGACTCAGCACCTTCAGGAAGATCTTATTTGAGACAGCAGCTTTCAGACCGGAGGGAAAAGCCAAACACAACATCACCACCAGCAATAACCTTTTCTAACAGACTAAATGACATCAAGTTACTGCACAGAGCCTGCCAGAACCCTAGGCAAGACTTTTGGTGGATAAAGTCCAGCAGAGCAACGATTCAGCATCTCGAGGACAGAAATATCTCCTGCATGACTTACAGAAACACCAAAAGCCAACCAGTGACATTAACGCTCTGAGTCATCCCAGCCAGGCTGCAGGCTCGCCTGTTTTTGTGGTCATAAATGATTTCGTTCTACCTATCTGCTCTGGACAGTCCACACAGACAAACAACAAGCATGTAGCTAACCTCTGAGTACTGTGAGCAAAAAGGTAATTAATCTAATAAAAAATCAGGGTGCACTCTGAGTGGCACCTCCAGTTGCCAATCATTTCAAATGATTTTCAATCAGAGCTGCAGCCTGAACACGAGGACAACTCCCTTCCTACAAAGCTCAGCTCCAGCAAATACACATTAAAAGCTCACCTGAATGCAACCACTTTTCCTCATGACCAGAGCACACACGAACAACTCAGCTAACTGCACCGGTTTTGTTTTATCAGTCAGAACAGCAAAATTTCCTTCTGACTGCTTCAAAACTGAAAATTGTTCCTGTGTGACCACAAAAACACAGACTGTGGATGAATCAGATATTCTGTTCAAGAAAAGCCTCCAGCAAGAGTTGGAGTTCTGCTATTCTTAAGTAAAAAAAAAAAAAAACAACAAACAATACAAAGGTTGGTCCCGGTCTTGGCCTCAAAATGTTTCCAGCCTGAAGTCTCCAACCTGAAAGCTGGTCCATTAGGACTCCTGGGTTGCCTGTTGCTCCCCAGATATTAATGCACTGTAACCCCACGAGCCCTATTGATGTCAACTTGACAAAGCTCAGCAAACCTCCCAGCAGTGAAGAGGAGCTGGCAGAACTGAGACTTAATAAAATCTTCTGTGATCACATTTGTCAGTCCCTCATTTCTCTGTACTCTAGTCAAGGTGACATGACTAATCCTCCGTTTAAAGCATGGTGACAGTGCTTTTATGGCTGCAAAAAATCATTTACAGAGGAACAGATGCATTTTCTGCTCACAAAGAAAAGTCCTTGCATGCGAAGAGCTAGAGGCATCATGCTTACTTAAGTTAAAACACCGGGAAACCAATAATTCAATTACAGACTGCACTTAGATCTACTCCTAGTTACTGAATTATTGTTATTAATGGGTTAGAAGTTTTGAAATGGAGGCGAGGAAAATGACAAATATCACTACCTCTCTGATTCAGAAGCTCAAACCAAGAGCTTCCAAAGTGATTTGACACTTTCCATCCTCAATTTGCAGCATTTGAACAATAACCCCAAAGGACCTGCACTTTCATCTTATCTCACGTAGAGCTTTGCTACAACCAGTGTTTACATTCCTCATTTTCTTCCCTGTTCTTGGCTGTTACTTTGCTCCTTGGGCTTGCACAAAAGAGCTTACTAGAAAGAAGATGCAGCACAGAAGATGGTTTTAACCTCAACTATGAAACAAGGAAGTTGCGGAACAGCAAAACGGAGAAACTAACACAAATTATTCCTTTTGGTATGTGTTCAGACGCTGGGCATGTTTCTTAATAGTCTTTCTGGAGAAGAAATTACAGTTAAAACATCCTTTCCTTCCTACAGGCAGCCACTCCTCAGTTTCCTGTTCCTGTTGAGGAAGTTACTGGCGGTCATTCTCTAAGCTCATTTATTAACAAAGCCATCAGAAAGCAAAGGGCATTCGGCTCAGACTGGTGTCCCGTGCCCTCCAGCCCAGCAAGCCTGGCTCGGTCTTGTGCTGGCTTTACTTACAGCTTTCTTGGACTTCTTCTTGGTGGAGCGTGCCTTCTTCGCCTTCTCGATGACAGCATAGAGGGCAAAACAGAGCCGCGCCATGCGGGGAAGATCACAGATGTTGATATCAAAATCCAGCCTTTGCTTCCACACCGGCTCCGAGCACACGTTCACTTCAGAGCTTGACACCATTTTGCACAGCATCTCATTGCCGTGAAAGAGACCTGCCTGCACCACCAGCTGAGGGGAGAAGAAGTAAGAGAATACTGTGAGTCCACGGGGACTCGACCCGTTCACAAAAGACCCATGACTAGAAGAGGAACGGGACAGGGAATCCAATCCTGTGAATAGGATGCCCTACTCCTTTCCTCTTCCATCCCCTAACCTCCAGCTTTACGCAGCTGCAGGAAGGGCACTGTTATCCTTTTACTTCATGCAGACTTGCAAGAGCTGCTTAATCATTGCAAAATGCTTGGGTAACCCATCGGTAAGGGTATTGCAGGTTCCATCCTGTGAAGCCACGCAATATAAATACTCACCAAACCTTGCCCACTGAGGTGCTACAAAACCTCAGCAACCTGTCACACTGAAAAAGCAGGGCAGACCCCGAGAGCTGAGCCAGTGCTTAAGCCAAAGAAGGGGGCACATCAACATTGCAGGAGAGGGCACATGCAAACTCTGGGTGCCAGAGCAGGCCTGCAGCGCAGTGCCAGCTGTGAGCTGTCTCTGGGTGCACATCTGCCTGCAAATCTGCTCTGCTCCTGCAGCCTTCCAGGTCACTGTACAGCTGGCAGGCCAAGCTCATGCCCAGCTTTACCTCGTAACAGCATTGCTGGCTAGTCTGAATCACAAGAGACTCCCCAGGAGAAGCTCCCTGCAAACAATGGGGCACTGGACAGAAGACATAACTATTTCATTGCCTGTTTCTCTATAAAGCTTTGCCCTGCAGAACATGTATACATGATATATTATTGCCCTGGTTCCTTCCTCTCCGAAAGGGTAGCCATTCCCCTTCACATTCACTTGCTCCCTCTTCACAGCAAGCACCTTGCAAATCCCAGGGCTTGGCTGCATCATGCTTTCTGTCTCAACTTTACCAGTCACCACATCTCCCATTGTTCTCTCTTCTCAGAGCTGAATTTCCCCTCCTCTGCCTTCTGCAGACTTCCCTGCCCCTCCACACCTCTGTCAAGCAGCATCACTGCAGGGGAGCAGCACTGCCTGCTACTCAGAAGCTCTTGTAGAGGAGTGTTTCTAAGAACGCCTTGCTCCGCTGTGCTGCTGGTTAGCAAGTTGCCTTCCCCTTCCTGTTGTGCTGCAGCTCAGAAGCTGCCCCAGGGCTGAATGAAGCATGATGAGGATCACATGAGATCGAGCGATCAGCCCCTGCTTTCCTCACCACACACAAACAAGACCGATGCAACCAGGAAAGCAAGAAAGCCAAAACACAAAACCAAAACCCCAGACTGAGCCGGTACCTACCTTCATTCTCTCATCTGCATTGACCTTGCTGCCTTGCACCAGCTCAATGTAGAAAGGCTGCTCTAAGGACCAGAGAGAACCGTAGTTTGGCTAGAAAGAAGAAAGGGTTCAGATCAGAAATAGATGCAACAAAGACTTCTCAAGCTATGGCAAGACCTCATCGCTCATCACACGCTTTTTGCCCCAAGAGAAAAGAGCGTGACGCTGCAGGTGGGCAGCATGAAGACTGTGACAACTCGGGCAGCTGTGGAGGGAGCTGGAAGGTTGATTGGAAAACCCCAGCTCATGGACCCTGGGGAATAACCTGCCCCAGGAGTGGCAGGAAGAACCAGCTGCTGTTCCAAGACCGTATCACTATCTCCATGTGAGTTCAGGGTGAGCTGGTGGGGTCACTGTGCCCTTTTACCTTTTTCTTGGGGAGCGGGGGAGGCTTTGCAGACATCTTTGGGGTGTTGGCAATGCAGTTGATTTGCTCATCTCTCATAGCAATGATAGTGGACGAGTGTACCATGGTCAGGTGGGGTGTTAGGCCTCGGTGCAGGCAGCTGCGAATATACTGCAAAGATGGAAGAGTCAGCACGGATGAAACAGAGCCAGGCAGGCATGAGCAGTCAAGCAAATCAGAACTGCCCGAAGCAGAAACAGGTGGAAAGAAAATATGGAAAGGACACAGCAACAATCAAAAATTCAGTTTTATTTTATCTCCTGTTGCTTTTTAATCCAGCATCTCCCTGGACTCACACTGCCAGAGCCAAAAATGTGACATGCCTTATAACCAGCATTACAGCAACAGACTCGTATGGCTGCATTAAGGGAAACTGCTGAGGAGGATTCAGCACTCCCAGCTCCAGTTTGCCCTGTCAGGATATGCAGGATAGGGGATTATACTTGCCCTAATTCCAGGAAGCAAACCTGCAGCCCACCGTGCAAGCAAGCAGACATTTCCAGAACTATAATCTATAAATGCATTTACACTGCACTTGCTACCCAGGGACAAGCTAGATCACCAGCCCCGAAACCATAAGGACCTGTCAGGTTGCTAGAAGTACCCCAGGCCCCAAGCAGCACCTGGGTCCTGCCATCAACATGCTGCATTCCTGTAAGCAGCAACATCTCCTTGATGGAGGACATGTCTCAACCCTCTCTCCCAGCTAGAGGGCAAAGGGGAACAGACTCACTGATAAAGGAAGACAAAAGGCTCACCTGGAACTGGTACAGGGGGTAGTTTCCATACAGATATTCGTACTTCCCGTTCACCTGCAGGGTATAGTCCTCCGGGCTCTCCATTGTCTCATGGCGGAAGACAGTAGCCTGCTTCTTGATAGCGTAGCTCATTAACGTGATGGGGAACTCATCTGGGGCGATCTGGAAAGTGAAGCTCTCCTGCAATCCCAACAACATAGCACGGACTGTCAAATACCAGCGAGGGGCTGAAATCAGCACAAGAAGCAGCAATAGCTCAGCAGGGAGGTAACAGCATTCCTGTTGCTGACAATGAAGGGAAGGATAGGGAGGCACCCTATCCCCCCCCACAAACACATTAGCAAATAAGTAGGGATGTTTGCCAAACTGGGCAGAAACGTGTTTCAGCAATGCAAGCACAGGGCTCGAAATGGAGAACTTCAAGTCCAGTGTAAGCACTATCACCAGCACACGTGGGTGCTGTGCTAGCCATTAAAAATCTCGGTACTGTCATCAAGGCAGATGGTGCCTGGGGTCGTTGTGCTCAAACACACTGCTCCCAAAGGCCATTCTTCCCTGGGGGTGGCACAACATGCAAAACTCACGTTAATTAAGGGTAGCAGGCAAGAACAGGGGCCATGGGCAGCACAGATCAATGTCTGCGAGTAGCATACGCCGAGCATGAGCTGAGCAGACTCTTGGGCTTCAAAAGGAAAGGCATACACTGGGGTCTGTGCTTCTCTCCCACCCATAAACAAAAAGCTTTCCACGACATGTGCATGCAGCAACCTCAGCTACCAGCTAACCAGTACACCCAATGCATGGTCAGGAAGGGGAACAGCTCCCTTGGTTGGAGGTGCAAGTATCCCTCCCAACCATCTCCACAGGCAATGGAATCTGGAGGATGAAGATGAACACTGAGCACATGGGAACACTGTGCACGTGCACATTATTCCGTCTCCAAACACCCAAAGGTACCCAAAGGGAAAGCACAAACAAGCTAAACATCGTCACAGAAAAAATTGTGCTTTACCCCACCAGACTGAAACTTGACGTTGACAAAAATGTTCTTGGTGGGGGTGTGCAAGAGTCCAGTCCCAAAGCCTTTGGCCATGGGCTCCAGCTGCAAGGGAAAGTTGTACTCCATCCAAGCTGCCCAGCTGAGCTGCTGCCGCTTTGCTGCTCTCTCCTCACAGAACTGGCACATTTTGGTGCGGAAATCATTCACCTCTGGATCCTGCATGGAATCAAACTCATGCAAACCTACGTGCAGAGGAAGAGAGAAAGATAAAATAAGCACCTGCACCCAACAGGGGCAATCGTCCTTTGGTAATCAAGTGTCTGAGAAACAATCTTCCTAAACACATGTTCAGTATTTGGTCAAAAGCAGAAGAGTTAGCCAAGCTACTAATAATTGCTTATTTCCTTTGCAGAATTGCACGGAGTAAATAAGTAATTACTATGGCAGAGTAACGATGCAATTACTATGTCCCTCTGCCAGCAGGGAAGATCACCCTTCTTCTTGGGTTCCCACGTAGACTGTTCCCTTTCTGGATCCACTACAGACCAATGCTGCTTATTTCATCTACCATCTCAGCAGGCTCCACTGTTATCCCATGCTTAGGAACGCTGTCTGGGATGGAGGCACGTATCACCAACATCTCTACCACACTCCTGGTGAGACCCGTGGTGTGGGAACTGACCTTTCCCAATGAGCAGGCTGATTTGGGAGTTAATAAGCTTCTTGACTCTGTCGCCTTCTCGAGCCACGAGCCGCAGTACCGGTAGGAAGGGCTGGATGTCACAAAGCCGCCGCTGCTCATCCTCCAGCTCTTGCTGCTCAGCTGTCTGGTTGATGCACGTGAAGACGTAGGCCTCGGGGTCACTGAGCATGTGGTAGAGCGGCTCATACTGAGCATGCTTCCACACCACCTGGGACAGAACGACAGCGGGGTGAAACTACTGCTGCTCCGCCAGAACCTCATCTTCCTCCTTCTGCCACCCCACAACCTCCCTCTCCCAAACCTCTCGTAGCATTCCTGTGCTCACAGGTTGCTTTTCAGCCAAGTGTGGGGGCTCCAAATCTTGCTGAACTGTGGGTAGATTTATTTCTAAGTGCCTTGAACTGGCCTCCTTTTTATTTGTGCTTGCCATGTGCTCCAGGCACAGCCAATCTCCTGACCTTGGTATTCAAATAACCCTCACCTGGATAACTCACAGCAAGTATCTGCTGACTGCTAGCCTGGTGAAATAAGAAATGACTCCCACTGGAAGGAAAAATGGATTAAGTAAATTGCCCCCAGTAACATCAAATTTGTGACAGAGCCAAGCATTTCCCAAAGTCTTCTGAACTCTATCCAGTTCTCCAAGCCTCTTTGCTCCCAGCAGACAACACTTCCATGTGTCTGTTCATATTCTACTCCTTTACTCTCTTCCTAAGCACCTGCTAGTAGGACAAACAGCTTTGCAGTCAATGGGCCTCCAGTCTGACCCAGCATGCCTACTGGTTGTAAAACACAGACCTGGAACGTAGCAGCTGGAACCAATCAGCTCCACTCGCCCTTTTTTTAATTTGACCTGAAAACTGCAGTATGAGAAAGCTTGGAATAATCTGGCACTGTGCTTCTGTCCCTTGTGATCTGTGACTCATCTAGGCCAGGTTGCTGCTGCAGAGAAAACCTTTTCCATTCTGTTTTCCTTCACTCTCCCCTACCCCTCCTCCTGCCCAGGGAAACAAGAAAGTATCGTGCCTTTTACACACGGTTTCACTGCAGTGTTTTATTTCTCAAGTGGAATTCTCTCTATCACTTCTCAACTTTCACTGTTCAGTTTCTGTCAGGCAAGAGATGGCTGTGCTGACATCCTGAACACTTGGAGTCAGTCCAGCATTTATATTTGACTATTTGGGGTGACTTCTCCTTGCATCTGCATACATGAGAGCATTCATAATGAAAAAGCCAGTGTGGGGACTGGACGGCTCAGGGAAGCACTGATCGAACATGCAGACCACGAGCCCTGTGTCACCACTGTGAATCTGCCCTCATTCCACAGTTACTCAAAAACTGATTCATGTCTCAGGGTTGGAGAATTGCCCAGTGAATTAAGCCCAGCACTGCTGGCACCAGCACCAGCAGCCTCAGCAGCTAGACAAACATTCAGGATTGTGGAGACTGTCACAAGGAGCAACAAGGAAGAAACCCAAGTCAGGCTGAGACCCAAAACATTTCCCCAGGTGTTCCCAAGAACAGACTCCTTGTTCCAGGAGACTGCAGACAGGACTGGAACAAGGCTGTTACCTGCTTGATGGTGCCCAAGCTGGCATTGCAGGACACAGAGAGGTTCAAGTATATGCCTGTGGGCAGCAGAAAGTCCACCTGGATGTTCTGGTTTTCCCCCTTGGACCAGAATTCCATAGGGCAGTAAATGCCCGGGGGCATCCTGCTCACTTCTTAGCTACAACCTGCAAGAGAAAAATGTTGCTGTTTAGTACATAATATCTTCTAAGGGCACAACTCCAGTCTGTGCTGGGCTCTGTACAAATTTAGTGTGCAAAAGGACCTAAAGAAAGGAATATCTGCATAGCTCAGAAAAATTAGCACCTTAGTCAAATTTCCAGTCCAGTGCCTTTAAACCACAGGGATATTCTTGCTATATTATTGCTTCTATTTCAACACAACCCTTTCTTAATCTCTTTTAAACACCTCTGACAAAGAAACTGAAGAACTATCTTCCCAACAGCTCATTTTCCAACCAAACCATCAACAGAAACAATGAGTCCCTACCCCTGGCTTTGAAAGGTAATCCTCAGGCCACATGCTCCAAGCTCCATTTTGTTTTTCCAGAGCTCAGTTCCAGTCTGCAGAGGGAGAAAGAGGTGTTGCTTGTTCTGAGTACACACACATTTTTTAAACAAAAAATAATAATACTCCACTGCATAGTCCCCACCCTGGTAAAAGGAAAGGGAAAATGAAAGCTAAGGCTGAAGCACTCAGAATTAGTTTGTTAACTCCATTTGCATCCCTTCACCTTGCATTTTCAGGTATAAACACAGGATAAATGTGCACAAAACACCAAAAACAAGAGGCATTTAGCAGAGGGCCATCATATGGTTTCCTTCATAAAGACACAGTCTCAAAGTCAGAGAAACCCTCAAGCTTCATTCATTTGCCTATGAACAAAACACTGCAGCAGTATAAAATCCTAGCTTCCTCCAGAGGTGACAGGCAGCCAGTCTGACTCTGCTGGTTCTAAATTTGTCCCTGAACATGCCCTGAGCAATTCTGCCAGTGTCACTTATCCTCGATCCATACCACTACAAAATTTGCTTCACAACTTAAAACACAGCTCTGCAGCTGTCAAATGTGTACAAACTTAGAGAGAAATGGAGCAGCACACTGCTGAAGATTTGGGTCTCCCAAATTACTGCTGGCAGCCCTGTGCTTCACTACGACAAGAAGCCCAGCATCTTATCTGCAGTGCCTGGGAGCACAACACTTCCCCATCAGCAGTGAGGCAAGGATTCCCAGAAATATGAGCTATGTTTTATCTGTCCTGCTTCCTCAGTGCACATGCTGTATCACACACGGACCGGATACAGAGACCACAAAACCACCCATGTGCCTTAAGAGGGAGGGAAGTAAAAGGGGGAGGAGGCAAGGTTTACAAGTTTGAATAAAGCAAAACAAGCTTGCCTGGTCCTCTGATCATTGACAATAATACCAGCAGGTTTCTAGAATACCTGCTCCTTCAGCCCTTCCCAAGGGGAACAAAAGCAGCAAACTGCCACGACCCTGCTGACGAGCTGAGATGGAAGACCCAATATTGGCCAAGCTGCTTCCTTCTGCTGAGGATTTCTACCTGACAGAAAGCTCCCATCAGCCACGAAGTACCATACCTAAGATATTAACACGACAATGCCAAGATCCAATTGCTCAAGACTTTTCCAAAGACATCACACCCATTATCTCATGATGTACAGGGATGTTTTTCAACAGAAGGAAAGGTGGATAAGCCAAAGGAAGGATAACCTCTGGACTCGTGCTGCCTCTAATGCTTCTGTTACTAAATCTCTCCTCTTTTCACAGCTAAATTCAGAGCACTTTGCTAGCTGGACATTAGATCTGACCCAGTGTGACAACTGTTACATTGAGCAAGCCCTGCACAGACTGGTATCTTGAACCACCCCAAGACAGACAAGTTGTCTTCCCCACTTCCATCTCCCATTTCACCCTGGGAAATCAGAACAGAGTTGTCCAGGCTGTAACCTTGTTTGCACTATCCTGACCTCATGAGAAAGAGTAATCACAATTCCCTTTCCTCCAGGTCACTTTGCCATTTACAAGTAGCCAAATGCTGTGTGACTCCTTTTTATCAGGGCTTACACTACTGGTATCACTTGAAATACACTCTTCGACTTTCAGTGCTTCAGTCTTTTTTTTTTTTTAATAAAAAAGCTGAAGATAGATTCTTCCTTGCAGCTACCAATTTCTAAAAGTCCCAGTTTCATCTCAATCTTTCATCCTGTTGAATATACAGATTACTGGATTATGGTAAGGTTACGACCTGTAGGCCTGGCAGCCTGAGGTTCAAGTTATTCAACCCACACTTGACAGAAATTAGTTTACTGCACAGCCTGCACATCCCACAGAGCCAGGGCAAGCATGGGTGAGACAGAGGGCTGTATTTTTGTGGGACACAAACCCCACAGACCCCACCCCATGCGAGTACACATGCTACCCAAGGCTCCTGCTTATCTACACTGGCTGTAACCACCCATTTTCTACAGAAGAACCCCCCAACCCTCGGCTTCCTACTGCGTACACCCCAAAACATCATCTTCTGGCTAGAATACTTCCACATTCCCCCACCTCCACCTCCCTATGACACTCAATCCTCCCCCAGCAGCCACATCTCCCACAGCCGTCCAGGATTTGTTTTAGGCCCAAAGCCTCAGTGGTTCGGGTCAGGGTGTGCGCAGCACCCCAGGGGTCAAGGAGCAGGGCAGACAAGCAGAATACACAAAGCTGGCCAACACACGACATCCAAAAGGGATATTTCAGGACTGGCCGGCCAGCCGATCTGTTTGGGTGGCCAAACGCGTACATCTGAAGTAAAGGCCTGGCCCTCACGCAGGACCAACATAACGGAGTCACACACAGAGCATGCGAGGAAAACACAGGACCTCAGACACCTCCTCATCCACCTCAGGGCCTGCTTATATACAAAACGGACTTAAAAAGTGCCCTGTGGTGTGTATTCACTTGGGCTGGACGCCTAAGATCATGCAAGGCCTGTGAGTGACGGGCTGCCCAGGAGCCCCTCAGGCAGACTGACCCCAGACAACACGAAAGCAAGATGCAGGTTGCTCAAAACGTTATTCTGCCGTTTCCTGAGAGGGGCAGGACCCCTGCTGCCCTACAAAGCCACTCTCTGTGGCCTGCACGGAGGCAGTAATTGAAGTTTTTCTCTCACAGTAAGCAAGCGCGTGTGGTGGGAGCCCCGGGTGCTGCGAACGAGGTGCGGTGAGCGGCCAGCCACGACGCAGCTGGCAGGGCTCAGTGTCGCTTCGGACTTCTCAGAGCATGTAAGAGGAAGAGAGATGAAAACTGTTGCACAACGCAGGCCCCAGAGCATCGAGCTGGCACCAACAGCTTTCCATGGGTCTAAGCAAGAAGCTGTTCCCCACCATTCTCACAGCAGCCGAGCGTAATCCCCTTTTCACACGTATTTCTGCACTGTGAAATATTTTCATAATTGAAAGTAAAAAGCTGGGTAGTTTCTCATGAAACTAGAAATAAAATACACATGGACACGCTCCGCACTGTCTCCTGCTCTGGTTCAGCCCGGTCCAACCAGCAGCAAAAATTAGTAGTAGTGGACACCTGCTCCTCAATCCCTCAGTAATTTTGGGATGTGGAGTCGGCCCATTTCCTAGGGGAGCAATCAGGAAAGGCTGCTGGTGCTAATCACCGCCTTGCTGAGAGCTGTATGGGCAACGAACCCATCTTACAATGCCCAGACCTCTCCATCCCTGGGCAGAAAAAGAGGCAGAGGAAAATAATTATGAGATGAAGTTCCAGGTGAGGATGAATGCTTCCCTCTCCCCCTTTGCCTCGACTGATTATTCTACAGGAAAGCTACAGATTGCTTTGCCCTCCTTAAGGTCTCACCTTGCAGTAATGTGAAGTTATTAAATGTGTATTTTTCCCAAAGAGGAAAGATGGCCAAGACAGAGCTGAGACGCAGATGGGATGAGTCCATCATAAAACCCTTCCTTTACTGGATGCCATGTAACACATGTAGGCATGATATCAGCAGTAGGAGGCAACACATGTTTTGAATTCGTAGCACACTGAGAAATGTGCAATGCACAGAAAGGCAAATCTATGCAGAATGTAGCAGGCACATTTGAAATTACCTGGGCGGTATTTAGTGAGCCAGCAGTCAACACAAGACACACTAACACACATCTCCTCCTATAAACTCATCAACCACAGCTCTGGTGTTTACAACACACAACTGCTATTGAGTGAAAAAAAAAAAAAAAAAGCAGCGAGCTATCAAGATCACACGCGGAGTAGTGTTCCACAAACCTCTGCGAGGCTGCTGCGTTAGACAGACACGGAAGCTCTAACGCCTACAAACCGATTACAGAATTACTAAACCCCAAGACTACAAAAAACCTTTCAACTTTATAAGAAATGAGTGGCACGGAGCTCACAGGTGATGCATGCAGCGTGGGAGACTGCAGGAAGCCACTTTCATTGCAGGTATCAGCTCAGCTGGGGGAGGAGACCACGGGAATTTTTATGTACACATGTGCTTGGCACGTCTTTACCACACAAGCAACATGCTTAGCAGGTCTGAACCTAGTCTGTGCTCTCCCTGACACAGCACACCCATGTCAGGGAGTCTTCTGAAGGTGTGTTGAGCTCCAGCTTGCTGTTTTGGTGGTGGTCACGGGCTGAAAGAGGTCTGCTGTACACTGCGGGCAAAAGCAAGTCATTTGAGCATCAGACTTTTGTAAAAGTAACCTGCAAATTCCCCTCAAAGAAGACTGGGAAAACTCCCCGAGCACACAAGTGTGCCCCCAGAGACACGCAAGCAATTCCAGCTGACTGCAGGTGGGAGCTTTGGGGAAGGCCCCCCAGCAGGGCTAGCTGGTTACGTGCACCAGGTGCCACTCATCAACTTAATTGCACATTAAAAACAGCTAAACCTGCTCGGCCTTGTGGCCTAACATAAGAACTCATGACCCAGGCCTCAGTACCAGGATGTGGATGCAACCAACAGAAGCTCATAGCAGTGACCTTAGCAGCTCTGACAACATATTTATTTGTTCCTCTAGAAATGAACACATGGTGGGGAAAGGTGCTAGAAGCACAGCCTGGGGGGCTGCTGGGTGCAGAGGTGCAAGTGTCTGCTGTGCCCTGGCCCCAGTGGATTAGGTGGGATGCTCCAGCCCGCTTACAGGACCCGGAGCTGCCTCTGAACACCATTCATTTCGGAAAAGGTGTTAATAGGATAGATTTGGCACATGAGAGCTCCTGTGCTCTCACATGTCAAAAGTGTTTCCTGTACAGTTTCCATAAGTTCTCTGCAAAGTACAGGTCAGTGTCCCAGCTGTGCTACGCCATCTGTGTTCCCTCTCCGTTCGTGGGACAGCACTGCACTTTCAGCACAGCCCTGAGTTGCACCACAGCTCTGCCTCTGGATCCTCCTCCAACACACCCCTAAGTGTAAGGCTTGGACCATGAACCAGGCAGGAAAAACCCCTGAGAAGGTGGGGAGAAGCATTCAAACCCTTAACACCACCTGAAGTCAACGCTTTTGTATGCTCGGGGTTCATTTCCTCAAACCTGGGCTTTGAATGTGGTGATCTTTATTTGGTTTGCCATAGCCAGACCTCTACCTCTGCCAAATATAAAACTCAAATAAAGACTTTTGCATATTATCAGCTTCTGTTTTATAGATTGATCTTTTATATCCTGCCACACAACCCTGTGCACAGATTCGTTTGTTCTCACAATACTTTGTTGTTCCTCTGGCTCTACAGAGGGCACGTAGCTGCATTGTTTCCATGATGCCTTTCATGAGAGATCTCTAAGCCCCTGATTAATCACCTTTCCTCATTACTTCGCTTACACAAACCATTAACTGAAGCAGATGTACGATGGGATCTGTTCAAGACAAGTGGACAAGGGATGAAAATGCACGCGCCCAACATTTCAGGCCTCTGCAACTCTGCAGAGCATCCCCTACCCTACCAGAGGGGCTGACACAAGGCAGTATTTACATAGAAATTGGCACCTTCAGCATCCTGAGACACTGACAGGGAGCAACGGGCCTTCCCACTGCCCCAGGAGGTGTTCTAGCTGCAGGAAGACCACAGGGATCAGGCCTTGAACAACTGCTGGACCCAAAGAATCCCTTGGCTGGTGCTCCTCCCCTTCTGAAATAAGCACACCTTTCTTCTGAGCGTTCACATCGCTCCATGACCGCCTTACACATGCACACCCCCGGAAAATCCCAGTGAGGAGCAGTGGGAAGCAGAACTGCACTAATGCAATCTGAACCGGAGCTAACCTCGTTTGCGCGCTGGGCCGATGATGAACGGGGTTGTCAGCAGGGAAAGAGAGAGGAAAGCAGAATGCATGCAGGGTGATACCAGCAGGGCCACAGAGCTCCTCGGGCACGAGCACGGCAGTGCTGCACCTCGTTTGGGTTCAGCAGGGCCTTGGGTATGGCCACAAGGGTCAGCCAGAGGGAAGGGAAGGGATGGGCAGCTCAGGTGAGGCACCTAAGAGCAGCAGAAGCAGGCAGCCGTACCTCCTTCTGGAAGCAAAACAGCATCACCAGAGAGAGGCAGAGGAACGTCAGGGGGTAGGAAAAGCATCTGACAGGAGGACTCGAGAACTTTGCCCCGGTGGAAACTTTCAAGCGGCCTTTTAGGCAAGTTTACAGGCACTCAGCCATGCTGCCAGCGCTGCGTGAGGAAGCATCGAGCGACAAATTGTGCACTGAGTGGTTAGAGCAGGAGCTCGCAAACCAGCAGCTCGCAAAGCTCCCTCCGCAGCCCCAACATGCATGTGATGTGGGACTTCAACCACCCGACCCCGCTGTGGTTTGGTCCCCTCGTGTGCCCGAGCCTCGCTCACGAAGGCGGCCGCTTTGGGAACTTTGCACGCCCGCTGCCAGGGTGGGCACGGCCCAGGAGCCTGACAAAACGGCATTAACAAAAGCACCTCGCCGAGGAGGTGGCTGAAATTGGTCTTTTTCCAACTGCTCCCATGGGCAGACGTCACCAGAAACCCAGATGCCAAGGGGAAAAAAACAAAACAAAAAAACAAAAAGCCCTATATTGCCAAGAGCAGCCCAGAGCGCTCCACCTTGCCCAGCTTCCCTGCACCCGCTGAGGCATCGCGGGGCTCTGGGGGGGCCCCCACTCGCCCTGCCGGGGCAGCACCAAGCCTGGGCCCCCCCAGGGGCTCCCCACGAGCCCCAGCCGAGGCCGGGAGCCGCTGCAAGCCCCCCACGCCCCCCTCCCGTGCCCGGTGCCCCCTCACCTGCTCCGCTCGCCCGTGCCCGCCGGGCTCCCGGCCCCGCTGCCGGAGGGGGGCGGCCCCGATCCGGCCCCGTTCCGCCCCGATCCGCCCCGCTCCGCCTCCGGTCCCAGCCCCCGGCCCAGCCCCGGACCCGGTGCGGCCCCCAGCAGGGCTGCCCGGTGCCGGTGGGCACGGGTTTGGGGGGTCGGGGGGGTTGCGGTGCGGCCGGTGGTGCGGCACTGCTGCGGGAAGGGTGCGGCTGCTGGGGGGCGGGGGGCGTAAATCGTGTGTGTTTGTGTGCAAATTGTGTGTGTGTGCAGCATTGTGTGTGAGAATTGTGTGTGTGCAACGTCGTGCGTGTGCAAATTGTGTGTGCAACACCTGTGCAGCACGCACGCAGCTGTGTGTGTGCAACTTCGTGTGCAACTTGTGCGTGTGCAAATCGTGTGTGCAGCATCTGTGCATGGACATGTGCACCTCTGCACAAGTCGTGCACGCACAACTCATGCATCTGTGTGCACAATTCACACGTGCACAATTTATGCATCTGTGCACGACACATGCAGCTGCTTGTGCACATAACTTGTGTGCACAACTTGAGTGTGTGCAATTTGTGCATCTGCCTGCATAACTCCCACGTGCACAACACGTGCATCTCTGTGCACAGCTTGTGTGTGCACAACTCGTGCATCTGTATGCACAAATCGTGAGTGCAACTCCTGTAAACAACTCATGCATCTGTGTGCACAAGGCATGCAGCTGCTTGTGTGCACGCACCTCTCTTGTGTCTGCGTGTGTGCACGACTTGTGTGTGCACAACGGGAGCTGCCACACGCCCAGCAGAAGTCAATGCTGGTGGCCAACGCGTGGTGTGGTGGCTACCAGCCCGACGCAGCTGCCATCATGCACGCAGTGCTGGTAACTGCGGGCAGTGGCTCATTGCTGCAGTGGGTCAGGGACTAAATGCAGGACATGATGCCAAAGGTAGGCCGTGAATACACATGCACAGTAAAACTACTCACGGGGGAGACTGAAAATGCTTTGGGATTCACTCCTTCCTGGGGAAGGGCTCCTCGGTAGCCTCAGCCATGCCCCTGCTCTTTCTTCATCTGGAAATGTGTACAATAAGGCTGGAATCCTGCAGGAGAGGGAACAGAGCATACCTGTGTGCCGGGTACCAAGCACGGCCATGCAGGCTCTACCCTACCCTTCCCCTCCCCAGGCTGTCGCACAGGTCCCAGGGCAGCAGGGAACCCCCCAGGCAGCACCGGGGCACCCACAAAATCCCCCCCTGCACCAGCACCCCCTGACCTGTAGGAAATCAGCTGCTCCCCAGGCAGCAGCAGCTGGGGATACAAAACGTTGCCCGTGCTCGCAGACAAATCCCTCTCCTCTGTCTCATTAAATTTTCAGCAGCAATTCGATACCCAAAGGCCACTCGCTCATCTGAAAAAACGCCTTCCTCTTTGCACTCCTGCTGCACTTGAACGGCGCCCGCCGTGCTTTGGAGCACGGATAATGAGAGATTCGGAACGTGGATCTGTGCTTTGGCCATTTTGCTCCCACCCCTGGAAACAAACAGCCTTTGGCCGTGACATGATCAGGGTTACACATTGCCCTGACCGGTCCTGCAATTTTACGAGTCCCAAACTCACCATTTTTTCTAAAGCTTCCACTGCCGGTGGCATGTGATTAAGGTATAAATTCAGTTTTTTTTCCATGTTATAATCCAAGAAAAGCTCATTATTCTTGCAATCTGACTCATTTTTTTTCCCTGAACATTACTAGTTGGCAGCCCAGGCTATCTGAGCATCAGTACAAAATGTGACTGCTGAAACATTCGTTCTACAGCTCCACTCGGATCTACCAGCACGTCTCAACGTGACCTTCTAAAGCTCAGAAACTGCCTATTTCAAATCGGAGCCCCCGACATGTGTTGAAGATATTTTTAACAGACTGTTTACTGGAATTCTGGTTTCTGTTCCGCTTTTTTTTTTTTCCTTCCCCAACAGCTTTTCTCTTCATGCTCTCCAAGTTTCACATATAGGGCTGCACTGAACGCTCACGGGACGTTTGCCTGCATGGGCTGTGAGAAATGGGACAACAACCTGTAGGGAAGGGAGAAGGGAACTGAAAGTCCAAAAATAGTTGCAGCCTGCTAGTGTAAGGATATGAGACCTCCAGGAAGAGCAGATGGGAAGTGTAAGCAGGTTGGGTTTCCTCTGGGTTATTGAGAAGCAGTGAAAGCGCTGGCCAGGAGGGCTGGTGGTAACCACATGGCACCTACAGCTCAGCCCCAAGCTAAGCAGCTCACAAAGAACAACAATTGGTGACTAAAACTAGGGCAGACGTAGCTGCTGGAGAACACAAACTTTCATTTTAAAAATTAGTATTTACCATGCATAAATAAACACTAAAACCCAGCAGGGATATTCTCTCGGGCTACATCATGAAGGACACGCACTGCGAGGTGTGGACAGTAGAAAGGCAAACAGACAAGAGGGAAGGATTTTCAGGCACACTGCATCACACCTGCAGGTTCTAGGTACAAGTTTCTATGGGATAAGGAGTGCCCAGAGCTCCCAGGAGAGAGGGCAGACTGCCGACAGACGGAGATGAAAATATTAGGTTTGGCTGGGGCCGGGGCTGCTGCCCATTATAGGTTTACCAAAGCCAAACCCGAAGCACAATTTTCTGTTCATCTTTCGATGGTATCACAGTTACAACTGCTTCTTCTTACATCCTTTCTCCTCAACAAAGACTTTTTCAAGCCCTTAGTCTCAATTATCAGCCTTTCGTAGCTCTCCTCTTAGTGTTTGTCCTCGCATCTCTTTTTGGGTTGTTTCTTGTCTTTCCTGCTTCAGGTACCCCATTCCTGCACCTTTGCTCTTCTCAGCATCACTTTACAAACAAACATGGTTGGAAATATGAAATAGACAGCTCCTAAACAGCTCCCTGCCAAATCCCTTCTCTACACCAATGTGGTGCATGAGAATTCAGCCACTGTTTGCAGCCCAGATGAATTGGCTGGTCAGCTTTTAGAGGAAAAGGGGATGGAGAGAGAAAGAGGAGGAGGACAAAAACAAGCAGATAACGTGGCTGTGGCACCTTGTTTTTTACAGGATTGCCTGGCAAGACTGCTTTCAACTGCCAAGTGTGCACCTGGAGAGGAAAACACCACGCCTGCCCTCCTGAGTCATAAGCCACATAAATATAGGCAATTTTAGTAAATAATAACATTTCACTAAATAAATACATTCAAAATAAACAAATAAATATCACTAAATAAATAAAAGTAAATAATAACAGTTCACTGCTTCTGCAGGCAGAGTAATGATAAGCCTAGAAGTACCGTCTCTTATCCTCCACTTACTCAAAAAAAGAAAGAAAAAAAAAAAAGAAAAAGCCACATTTAATTGCACCACAAAGCAAACAGGAAGCCAGAGCAGTTTTAGGAGAGTTGAAACTATTTGCTCCATGTGGTTAACACTACCAAACAGGCGGGCAACCGCGTTTTTGCATCAGCTATGCAGTTGGTCTGCAAATATGGCTGGTAACTTGCTCTTATTTAAAAGTCAAAAGAGCTTTTCTTGGCCACAAGGTCTGAAATAGGATCACAGCCACACGAAGTGTATGACAGTGATCCTCACGGGCTAGCAGAGGCGAGCAGCAGAGCTCGTCTGTACGAGCCACCGGATACATCCCTCGCTGAGAACCACCCGTGGCCAAACCAAGCAGGGCTCAAGGGTTGAGGATCACCGTTCCTTTTTGCATCTCACATGATGGGGCTCTGGGCTCTAGCACAGTGCTACAGGCTTTTTGTTTTGGGGGGATTTCTTTAAATACACATATATTTGGAGCACCTAGGCTCTCTTGCAAGCTAGCAGTGTGCATGTTGAAGCCGCAGGCTTCCACATGGCAACATATTGTGAGCCTTCCAGTCCTCCATCTTCATCACCCAGAGCCTCCACAGCCTCACTAATTATGATGAACTCCATACACAGCTTAACGCTGCTGCATTTTCCAGATATTTATTCAAGCAGGCCACAAACTAAGACAGGAGAGGAAGAAGAGACCTTCCTCACTTTGCAAATCTGTGCTAGCACTCTAGGGAAAGCACGGACTGATCTAAACCAGATCCAAATCCTCCTAAACTTTGTTGGGAAAATTCGGATATGAATTCATAACTTTAATCAAGCCCTATAGGATTATTCATATGGCAATGAGCTGCACTGCGCTCACGACAACACGCACAACCTGCTCAATTAGCCAGCAGCATTATCAGAGCAAACACTCATCCCAGGGAAACCAAGCTCTGACCTAGCACTGGGAACGTGGCAGTGCCAACCTAATTTGATAAATCCCTGTTTGGTAGGAATACAGCACTACTAAAGACATTCACCTTTTATTGTTAACGCATTCAGAATACATACATACGCTCTTGCAGTTGTGCTGCTTAAAGAGCTCTTAAATGGTATTGCACTGGCAGCTCCGCACACCCAGGCTTTTCTTCTTCTGTCCTTAACGGGAGAAAAGCAAGACACAAAAATGAATTGCCCAAAAGTTACCTAAGGAAATGGGGGAAAAATCAGATTACGTCTGGTATCCTCACAAAAGGACACGTTTTATTAAGATAGCATAAATTTACTTGTAAAACATATATACATATAGATATATGTACATATTCAGAGAGAAGAAGAAAAAGAAAAGTGGAGAAAATGGTTACTATGAGAAACATGACTACGAGAAAATGGTAAATAATCAGGTACAGAATAATTCAAGCATGCTGGGAGGTGACTGAGTGAAGGGCAGTGCATGCATTGGGACCGCTGGCTGGTGGAAATGTGGAGGGACAGACAGTGATTGCCCAGGAAAGGGAGCAGCCGGAGAATTTCCCTGAGGAAGAAGAGCAGCGTTAGGAGACACGGACTCACTGCAGCCAGAGGTGCAAGGACTGCGGGTTGGTAGCCCCGCATGTTGGTCTCTGGACAGAACAGAAACTAGCAAAAGGCTGTGTTGAATAAAACTGAGAGGAGAAATTCACCAGCACACCTTCTTAAAATGAGGACTAAAACCACCACCTCTCTCTTGAGGTCACTACCACATCTCAGGTTCTCCTTTCCCGCAGCTCAAGTCCCACCAAAACGCCTTGTCCCCGGCTAGGGACAAAGAAGAGGACAAATTCCAGGTGAGGACCCAGCTCCTTGCTGCTGTAGGCTGAACACCTCTGAAGGAAAAAGTGGCAGTAATTTCATAGCTTGGACTTTGGGTCAGCTGACTGCACAGTGGTTTTAATAGGAAATGATTGTGTTTTGTTTTTTTCAAGAACAAGGCCACAGCTTGCTTGTTTTTATTGTCACAAAAGAGCTATTTTGGAGCAGAAAGCCATGGCAGAGCCTTGGCACATTTTTTCTCTTTGTTTGATGGACATGCTCGCAAATGAAAAATCCATAAAGTGAAATCTTCCCATGAGCTGTACTAGGAGCTGATGGTGAATTGTTAGGGGTGGGATTCAAGGACCCAAGCAGCCTGTTTGTTCAAAGAGATTTTGAAAGAGTGTCAAAGCCTGGGACTGTCTGAATGACAGAGAGGGGGGAGAATGACGACAAAGATGCTCAGCTCACTTGCTGAAGGCCAGAATGGCATATTTAGGTGTCCTTGCCCAAATAAAAATACTGTTTGATTTGTGTGACTACGCATTTCAATGAAGGACATTGCGGACTTGAGAACAACGCATTCTTCCATGATTTCCCCATAAATATTTATGGAGGAAAATCAAGCAACAAGAACTGACCTGAGTTAGTTAAAGCAAGGAGCTGAGATTCTATCTTGATCATCAGCTAAAGCCCAGGACTTGTAAAGGAGAACAGCCCCCGGAGGCAGTTCTCCTTAGGAGGTTAGTGAAATGAACCAGGAGGCTTCGTCTGATACCTCTTTAGCTGTAACTTCAAAATTCTGATGAAGAAACAACATCTGAGCATGCCAAAGTATTGTGTTAAGGAAAAAGCAAATTTACTTAGTTTTTGGTGGTGCAAACAGTGCAAGATCCCAGGGAACAGAGGGGAAGGTATTAGTTAAATGCTAGACGGGAGGAGATGCTACTGACCTGGTTCTGTGAGATACAGGAGGCTCAGGCTA